TCACCTCTGGAACTCCCCCCACCCCATGTCTTCTCCACGTGGTATTGTGTACTCACAGTTTAGTCAGGGAAGCAGAACTATGGGTTCTGAAAGTCTGAAAGGGCAAGTCAGAGAATCAGAGCTGCCACCAAGCAGGCAGTCGGAAAAGTCAAGCCTTCTTTCGGCTAACTCCAGCACACAACCGTACACAGAGGGGTTTGGGGGAAAGGTTGTTCTGGCTTCAACAACTGGACCGTATAAATCACTAAAGGTAGGGAGCCCGAAATAGAAATAGCTGTCACACCTCCGCAGTGATGCTCCTGAAGCTCTGTTCTCATTAGTCATGAACGATCTGGAATCAGCCCGTTTCACCCTAGTCTGAAAGCATGTGACAGCTTTAGTGGGATGAAATTCTGAAGCATGATGTTCTGCAGTCAGCAAGGGCTGGGTTTTGCACACATACTGTGTAATTGGGACACACTCCTTAGCAGCCAATAGTAACAACCTTGTACTATTATTTTGAAGTAGGTATAATGCTATATACTCAATAAAAATTATTCATATCTCAAGTCTCACCCTTTCCCCTAATATATCTAGGCCATGCCATGTTTCACAGAGCATCTCTATGTAGAAATGTTCTTGTTATCTAAGTGTTGGATAGTGATAATGAACATGGGTGTATAATTTATATTCAGCATTTCTGGCATTTCATGAGGTCCCAGATTTCCAGAATCAACAAGTTGGGATTCATGTGGACAGTTAGACCACTGACTGGCAAGGGAGACACCCGAGTGGAAGCTCATTGCTTTTACCACCCTCCACCCTGCCCCTGCAGAGAAGCAGAGCGCTCCTTAAGTGGTTATAAATCTACTGACTCCCAATGGCGTGGAAAAGTGAGGATGGTGGCATCGGCTCTGCTGGAATCCTGCTGTTTTTCCTGGGTCAGAAGACAGAGACTAATCATGAATGTAGAGGGCAGAGGAACGTTGAAGCCGACGTCAACAGTTGGAGATAGAGAACCATAAAATCAGAATTTGAAAAGTATACTATTCTGGAGCCATTCATTTTAGGAGGATACAGACCTACACATTTAATAGCTGCCAAGGGCATCACTGTATCACAGATGGCCTAAATTGTTTGTTGATATTGAACTTGACAATAGTGCTCATGAGTTAGAGCATGAAGAAAAAGTTAAATTATATTCAAAGTACCCTGTTTAAGAATCTGGGGAGCCATTTTATCATTTTAGAAAGATTTTAACCAATAGAAACTAAAATAAAAATGTTTTCATTCAGGATAAACTTCCAGAAGACTCGTACACAGAGGATCTTTTATTATCCGAAGTAGGATAATAGGCATTGTTTTGCATAACACAGTGCCGAGCACATGACAATAATTGAATGAATATTTTAAAAATAGAATTCACTATACACGGGGCAAATCAGACTCTGAGCCTAACTCACAGAGTGTGGAGGAGTCTCTAGTAGACTTTCGGAAATGCAGTAAATTACTTGCCTGCTGGATGACACTGGTAATATATTCCCTGCCTATATTTTCCTACAAAGTGTTGACACTCCTGATGAGTCTGCACTTAATTGCTTATCTGATGGAGCAAGTAATTGACCTGAATGCATTCAAATAGAAAATTGAGATGCAAAACTGCTTCTTTAAAAGTTAAATAAAAGGTTGATACATGTTTAATGTACAATAATGACACTTTTCCTTCCAGCTTATCTTATTTTAGGACCTCAAGATTTGAAAACTTCCAGGTGGTGATAAATACTGTAAAGAATCTAGAGCCAGCCCTGGTCTTTTACAGTATTAATAGGATTGCTCAGACAGCTTATCTGCTTAAGTTTTGGAAATCTCTTTATCCTTTCTCTGCAGGAACACTAATCACTTGAAAAGGACAAGGCTGAGGAAACTTGTTTTAAAGCTGGGTTTAAATTTTTTTTTTTGCATCAAATTCTATTGCTCAAGTTTCCTGGGTTCCTTGTGTCTTTTATTTCAACGATTTCCCTTTCAGATATTTTAAACGACTCTTTACATTCATTTGAACATAGGTGACTTACTTGCATTTTCTGGTGTGATAAGCATTTCTTAAACCTTTTCCTATTCACTCTGGCTGGATTTCACCAGCACTAGGGAACAGAAAACGGATTGGTGTGGGAATTGGGAAGCCTTGGCTCCGGGTTTCCCTCTGTGATTTGTACGAGTCCTTTGGTTGGTAGGCTCAGAAATGATTGGCTTCTTCAAGCAAAGGAAACTTGCTGGAAGGACAGCAAAGGCCCACTGAATCGGTGGAGGGCTGAACATCGGTTTGAACATGGTACAAAGGCCTTTCCAGAAGCTGGGGAGCAGGAACCCCAGCAACAAAGTTGCAGCAGGACCAAAATGGTGAGGTCATTGCTACGATGATACAAAAGGGAGGCTGGCCTCACCTGGATGACAAGCCCACCCTTGCTGTAGATATGGGTGGGACCTCCAGTTATAGCCCACTGGGTGGCTTCCATCAAGTAATTCCTTAAGAGGAAATCAGAAGGCAGTTTGGAAACAGAAATTGTATGCTGGGCAGATAACTGTGTCCACCACTGTGCTATCTGGCATCTTTAAAGTTGCTTCCAGCTTTGAAAATGGGCGGGACTTCTCCCATGAAGGCCTTTGGGGTTACCATGTCCCCATGGTGTTTGCACCTATGAATGCCTATAAAACCAACGGACAATAATCAGACAAACTAGAGGGCAGTTATGAGCACTGGTGTATTACTGGTTGTCCTGCTGGTGATAACTGTACCACTGTGTAATAGTGGTTGCTTTCGTTCTCTATCACTGCATAGCAGTATCACCACAGACTTAGCCTCTTAAAACAACACAAACGTATTATCTCACAGTTCCTAAGGGTCAGGCATCTGGGGACAGCTTAGCCGGGCTCTCTGTGTAGGACCTCGTCAGGCTGCAGTGAAGGTATCAGTTAGGGTTGTGGTCTTATCTGAGACCGGACTGGAGAAAGAGCCACACGCAGGCTCACTCAGGCTGTTGGCGGAATTCAGTTCCCTGTGGTTCTAGGTAGGACTGAGGATTTGTTTCTTGCTGCTTGCTGGCTGCAGGCTATTCTCCACTCCGAGAGGCTGCGTACAGTTCCTTGCTGTGTTGGGCTACCCAACATGGGCACTTGGACTCCTCCAAGCTAGCAAGGAAGAGACTCCAGGAAGGCAGGCACTACAATCTCATGTAAGCACATTATCATGTAATATAATCACACACACCCCATCGCCTTTACTGTACCCTGTTGGTTAGGAGTTCATAGACCCCCACATGCAATCAAGGGGAGGAGGTCACACAGGGGAATGAATACCAGGAGGTGGGCTTTAGAGGCAAACCCACAAATCTCAGAGCTGCAAAACTGGGTGGGACCATCTCCAGAGCTGCCTTGAAGTCTAAAGTACCTCTTTCTGTGCATCTGACTTCTCTAAACCTCAGTCCTGGGGCGGTACTTCACGTGAAGACCTGGTGAGGGGTCTGAACAAAACCTCAGGCTCCATGTCTCCAGCTCGGCTGTGGGGGAGGGGAGGAGGGTAAGGAGCTTCGCCTCCTCTGAGCTATTGTGATTGTCTACTTGGTGTTCCCCTCGAAGCTATCTGTGTGCAGCTGAACGTAGTGGGCTCCACTGAACTGTATCTTTTCTCCAGATTTACCAGCTGGTAAATTTTTGTTTTTATTGTATGGAAATTCTTTCTTCATTTCCTCACATGTACATGTCTTCAACTATATATAGGTGGGCAAAAGTAGGTTTACACTTGAGAGTATGTGAAATTTCATTCTTGTATTACTTATTACTGTATTATTTGTTTGTATTACGACTGTAAACCTACCTTTGCCCACCCCTTGGATTAAGCCTCTAAAGGCAGGAACCATTCACATGCCCTTCAAGTAAGGGTAAAAGGCAGAGGTGCTTTGGAATAGTGCATGTTGGTTCTCTAGCGGTGTGAAGGAAGGGGGTCTCTAGGTTCATGTGAAAATCTCTCCCTTCCTAGCTGTACTTTGTTATGCAAACAAAACATGCATATTTAAGTAGATTCGAAAGGGGTAACCTTACAAATGCTCAGATATCCCGGAACAATGTGCTTGCTTCTACCAGAGCTGCGAGGCTCGCATCTGGAGGCAGGTGGGTAATGCATAAAGAGGGCCAGCAGACATGGCTGAGTCCCTGCATGTACTAGCAGCGTGACTCTGGACTTACTACTTTAATTTCTGAGAGCCTCAGTGACCTCACAGTCCTAGCTCATAGAGGTAATGCCTTTAAAGTGAATAGCACAGTGCCTAGCATACAGTGAACATATAGGAAATAGATACATGACGATCCTTTAAGAGCCTGGCCAGGCTCTCACACGTCAATTCTCAGATGCAGTTCATCCCCTAACAAAGAGGGGTCGAGGAGATGCACATATGACACACACCTTAGCTCATGTCTTGGAGCTCATGGGGTTTAGTGTAGTTTCTTGACGGTGGGGGGAATTGGAAACCTTACTGCTGCTTTCCCGTTCCTAGAGCTGGGCCATTGGGAAAGTGTGGTGAGAGGACTGTATCTGCAGCCCCTCCTCGTAGACAGCAGGGGGCCTGGGGAAGATGCTGGTGCGGCCAGGGTGGGCTAGGGAGCAACCCAGCTCCCCCTTTCACTTCTAATCTCCCAGGGTGTGAAGGGAAGCACGTGGAACTTAGCTGCTCGACCTTGGCCAAGAAACAGTGACTCGAAGCCATTTTCACTTCTGTAAAAATGGGCCATATGGAAGATCAAAAGGGAAGCAGGAGGTAGGAACATTTTGTAAACTGCATATCAAAGGGAACCTACGACGTGTTCTCCGTACCAAGAATGTGCCTTGGAGTTTAGTTAGGTAAATTTTCATTTCTCCCAACAGTGCCCTAACTGGCCAAATGAAAGTATTAAATACATATTAGAAAAGTTTTAATTTCAACAATTTTATGATTAAAAATACATTTTATAAATAATTTTTCCATAGACTTGATTGAGAATTGTTGCAAACTTTACAAAAAGACATACTGCAACAAAAACATTAAAATTACAAAAAATATAGCTCCAGCCCTCCTATTTAAAAATACATTATAAATCACAGCTTTTTCTTTGTGCAAAGTTTAAGAGAATGCTGTGTTAGGCATGTCACATATTCATTCAGAGATGTAAACTTTAATACAGTTACTTTGCATAATGGCATAGTATAGGCACAGGTGAAATAATTCATTCTTTCCCCCCTAGAAGCTAGTATACCTTAGTTCAACATTTTACTTTTATTTTTTTAGGACTGATGGGTGAATTTAGTTTAATACAAATACATATGTGTGTGTGTGTGTGTGTGTGTGTGTAAAAACAATTCTTTGTTTTGAAAGTAAGAAAATCCTCAACATATTTATAGTATTTTCAGAGACCGTATTCTCCAAGCCAGTCTGAGTACACCTTCTCTCTGAAGCAACTCCTTAGAAAATGAAATGAAGCCGAATTTGTCAATTAACCGACATCCTCTGTTGAGACTTCCAGTTTTCGCTGGGGGACAAAGAGGGTCCCTGTGGAGGTTTTATTAGCACCATCGAAATCTACGCAGGAGGAGCCCATTGATTTCACTGGTCCGCCTGGGGTACGGAAGAAACTTTCAGCCACTAATTGTGACCCTTTAGGCGTTACTGGAACAGGCTGATTGGAAAGAGAGGAACGGGGGAAAAAAAGGGTCAAACCCAGACAAGTAGGCTGTGGCATTGTTCGAAGGCTGGACTGGAAGGACGTGTCACACGTGGGAGCCCAGCACCACTGTGAAATCGGCTCGGTGAGCCTGGGTGAGTTCTATATTCTCAGGTAGTTTTGGTTAAGGCGAGAGAAAAAGCTCATGGGAGCTTAGTAACAGGGGCTGCCTGCCTGTACACGCTTCCCATGTTTGGAGAGGAGGTAGGCCTTCGCTCTCCTCACTCTCCCATCCTTTCCCTCCCCAGAGAAGAAAAGCAAGAGTAAGTCTCCCAGGACACTGACACTGGAGACTGAATAACCCAAGGAAAGAAATAAGTTAAATGAAAAAACTCTTACCTGTTGTGCCCCTGTCACAGCGATGGACTGTCCATTCGGCTGGTTCTGGCCCAGGGCAGGAGAGTCGTACCTGGTGGCCCGTCCTTGCTGAGGGCCTGCATTTTCTGGTCTGACACTAACGGCCTCTAATCTTGGAGACATGGGGACAGTTCCGGGCCCAGGGCTGGCAGACACCTGTACACTGGGGGAGATGAGCCCCAAGTGTTGCAGGGTGAAGTTGACAACGGCTGAGCTTGGGTTCTGGATGGGAATGGGGTGGCTCGAAGTGAGAGCCGGGCTGCTCCCCACAGGTACAGCCGTCATGGAAGTTGGGGAGACCATTAACTTCAGGGGTGTTACATGAAAAGAGGGAAAATTAACAGCAGTGAGTTCAGATGATGTCACTGGAATAACACCTGGAAATAAAAGGGAGGAAAATGTCTTCAAAACACAGGCATTTATCTGAGCAGCTTACTGGACTTAGGAGAACTTGAGACCGCCCCACAATAGAAGGGCATCTTACGTACACTCACCTGCGATGGGGGAGCTGTAAATCCTGTGGTTCGGAGAAAGCGTACCTGAGTTTTCTTTACAATGCAGGACAGACTCTGCCCCCAGGGGAGAGCACTGGGTGAGAGGGATTAGGTATCCTGATGGGAACAAGGTCTAGAAAACAAGGAGGGGTTTATTTTACACGTGAATACTGGAAGAAAAATGGCACCTGCCTCTTCAGGACTAATACAGCTCGGTGATTGTCTCATGAGACTAATGCCTCCCAACGATACAGGCTGCGGGCAGGTACCTCCCTCCTATGCCAACTTGTCCTGAGTGATACAAACCACGTGCTTCTAAATGCCTTTTGTGGTCTTGGGGGAAATGTCCTAAAACTACCACTGAGCCTGTGTAGAGTAGGAGTCCCCCAGCAGACCCCCTTCACACGGGCACTCTAAATCCTGCTTTCGGAACGGCTTGGTGTGCCGTGGTGCTGACCATCAGAATCACGCCAGTGCCGTGGGACACCATAATGGTGCGGCTGTGTTACTACTGACAGTTCTTGAATTACATAGAATGGTAGTTCCCAAAGAGTATTCTGAGGGACACTAGCTTCATGGGATGCAAGCAGGCACTGCTCGAATCCTGCTCAGATATGTTTGGGAAATGCTGAATTCAACAAAGGAAACTGGTGTTTTAATTAGAGAAGCTCTGAGGGTCTAAGAGGGGCCTGCACTGTAACTCTGCAAGGGGGCGTCGTGCATGTAGCGCTCCCCAGGCCGCCTGGCAGCTGCATTTTTTGGTAGTATCGGAATTCAAGAAAAACATTTCTTGAAATGTTGATGTGGAGAAGGGAGTTGCCAAGCCACGGGCCCAAATGTGGCCTCCTGCCTGTCTGTGTGAAAGTAAGGGCACGGGGACACAGCCGTGCCCACTCATTTATGTGCCGTCTGCGGCTGCTTCCCTGTTGGTTTTTTTGCAATGGCGGAGTCGAACAGGTACAACGGAGGCCATAGGGTGCACAAAGCAGAAATACTGACTAAATGGTCCTCTGCAGAAAGGTGTTCACAGGCCCCCGACTTAGAACAAAGGAGCTGCACAACCACAGATTTGTTTCTAATGCTTTAGGTTCTAATGACACCAAGCACATGCACTTACACACACTAAAGGGCATGGCACTCACAAACTACAGGTATAAACAGTGAACTGATTAATTCACATTAGTGGACCTAACTGTCACAGAGCAAAAGCTTTAGGCAATAAAATTATAGACCCGATGGAAACAGCCAGAATGCTGGGCTGTGTGTTTCTTCTCTCCGCCTGCTGGAGCACTGGATTTTACCAAATGGAGAGAACCGGGGGTGGCTGAGCCGCCCAAAGAGTCTGCTTCGGCCTTACCATGAGTAGGACTGGCAAAAACTAAATGCAGCTCTTGTAAAACTGGGGACCCTCCTTTTATCTCCCTCCAGATCCTTCTGGACATTGTTAAAACAACAGTCCACACTTTGATGCAGTGGTTCACAGTCCTGTCTTTTCCTTAGGAACCATTAAATCCAGAATCCACACTGCTAAAAGTGTACCACAGACTTCAATTTTTGTTTCTAAGATGCTTAGCACTGTTCATATTCTTTAATGGAAGGTTCCTTGAAAGCTGCAGGAACAGAAATTTTTAAACGAGTCAATTTAGGGATTTTACAAATCGTCTTTGCTATTGTTAATCCTACTTCCTTGTAGTACAAGTTACTTTGGTTGATGGTTTAATTCAATGCTTCAGCAAAACCTGTAGTACTCTAATAAGTATTATTTTTCAATTTTCTACAAATTACATTCTTCATAATATCCTTTAACCTGTAATGCTGATTCCTTTTTTTTTTTTTTAACTTGAGAACTGTTAAATTAGCAGGATGGATGAATTTGACATATTTCAAGTTGAATGTTATCTCATTGAGGCCACATCAGCCCTCTTCCACCCGCCTCCACAGCCTATTTGATTTTCATTATGGCTCTTATTATTCACTACCTGACATATTTGTGTTATTTGTACACTGTCTCCTCTGCTCTCTCATACCTGTAGCCTCTCCGTAAATGTTCACCAAATGAATTAATACACAAATTAACACACTTTCTTTGTTTTGCTCGGTTTGTGCTAAGAAAAATGGTTAAACTGAAGTCACAGAGATGAAAAAAGAAGGAGGGGGTATGGGAAATCTATCCACTGAAAACCCTAATCCTGAATATCTAAGCAAGCAACAGGAGACCACTATTAAATTACTCCACTGGAACCAGAGGATCGCAGTTCAGTTCTCAGTCAGGGCACATGCCTGGGTTGCAAGCCAGTTCCCTGCAGGCCAGTTCCCAGCAGGGGACGCACTAGAGGCAACCATACATTGATGTTTCCCTCTCTCCTTCCCTTCCCCTCTAAAGATAAATAAATAAATAAGTAAATATTAAAAAAAAAATTACTCCACTGGCCAGAAGAGATGATGGACCTCCCAGAAAATCCAATCAGTCTAAAGCCTTACAATTTCCCCCCTAGCATGGATATTAAGTGCAAAATGATACTGCAGTAAGAGATGTTTTGAATGGTTACCATGAGGCCATCCTGCGGGAAGACTTGACAAACTCTAAAGCTTCCTTAATAACAACAGTTACAGATAATACCCTACATCTTATACTGCACCTTAAAAGAATCACAACCCCTTCGTGTGTGTCATCCCATAATAAATTCACCTGGCCTCACAGAAACCACAACACGACCCTGGGGCAAGTGCTCAGAAGCAAGTATTGCCAAAGGCAGGTGCTGCTTTGACTTGGTCCAGGGCACAGTTCTTCACACCCAGTAGATGATCGGGAAACCCTGGTAGAACAAATTCTTCAGAGATGTGAGGAAACAATATGTAGAGAAATAAAATAACTTGAGTTAACAGCAGGGGCAAAATAAGAGATTAACTTCCACTTCCACATTTTGTGGTGATCATGGCTTTCATATATAATTGTCCTAATGGAGGAAAACGAGACAATGTGTGTAGAAGTGCCTAATCCTTCTGACCTCAGGTGTGTGGGTCGGCATCCAATAAATGTTAATTCCTTCTTGATAAACTCCACCTAGAAAAAAAAGTGATCTGGAACACCCCGCTCCCTAGAAACCAGAGTGTCCTATCAAATACACCTACGATTGGCCAGGATAAAATGTTTCTATTCACACAGAATAGAAATTTTGGGTTAAATTTTAGAAAGTAAAAGGAGGGGGAACAATTTATCTTTCAGGCAACAGATGTCAGTTGCGAGACATCGAATAAACATTAGGTAATGACTCAGAAAGCCGAGTCACTGGAGCCCCGTGTATCCATCCATTCATTTGGGGTTACAACTGCTTGTAAAATTATTTAAGACTTTCGCGACAGGTGTTTGCATTCCAGTGTGTGGTAGAGAAATGGACTTGAGGACAACCGCCCGTGGTGCTTTAAAAAGAGCAAATAATCCCTTCCTCCAAAGGTTAAAAATGTCCCTGCTGTCATCCCGGCAAGGGGATTAGCTGTCCAGGGACCTTGTTTGGATTATGGATGCTAAAAAAACAGTTCCTTGTCTTCTGAGGGACTGCTCTTCGCCCTGGTGAATTTCACAAGCCCCCAAATCCTCCTTTAATCAACTGGGGCGTTCCCGAAGCTTTGTGTAGTACAAGGGTGTACTTACCGTGGGAACATTTTCGTGTCCTTTCAGGTCTTCTTTAAATTTCTTTTTGGAACCAGTGTCCTCGACGATGCCTGTCCTCTTTGAGCCTCTTCCTCCTGCAGGTTCTCTGTCCTGGTTCTGTGCACCTTGTCTCTCCGGCACCAGCAACAGGCTTCCAGGCCTGGTGGAGGCACTGGGCTTCGTGGCGTCATTGGCTGCTTCCTCGGTGGTGGCATCGGGGCAGTCTTTCGATCTCGTAGCTTTAGAAGAGGGGTTAGGGCAGACTGTGGGGCTCAGGCCTTGGGGCGGCGTCACGGTTTGGGCTTGGGCTGGCTGCAAGTAGATGGCATAGGACGAGCCCGGTGGACCTTGAGGTAGGATCACGGGCACTGCTGATGACAGTGTGCTGGGGATCAGAGGGACCACGCCCAGGGGCTGGAGGAGGGCCGGTGCTGTCAGGTCCAGCTCAGCATTCACTGGGAAGTCCAGGGGGGCCCCTGGCTGGCAGTGCCCGGATCTTGCCGGCTGTAATTTTGTTTTCTTTCTGGGTTCACTAAAAGACAAGATTTAAAACAGGACATATTTTCTAAAATGTTCTAACATAAACACATTTTCTCTAAAACGTTCTACCACTTTATAGAGTCCCAGATTGAAGCTCAGCTTTTATGAAGCTAGCAGATAGTCTCTGTGATAATTGCGTATGCGTCAAAGAAAAGATTATCCCACCAGTTTCCAAGGCCTGTGCCTGTTCTTACATAAAACAAGGAATCCTAATGATGCAATTAAAGGTGGTTCACCCTGTTACTAAAGAGCCCTGCCAACCTACCTTGATTGCGCTTCCAACTGCATTTTGCAAATAGCTGCGAGCTGAGCCATTTTATTTGGGAAGGGCACAGGATTCTGCGAACTCTCAGCTGGTAAAACAGAGAGAAAGGAGGGGGTGGGGTTGGTCAAAGCAAAAGAATAAACGCTCATGCAGATGACACATCACCAAAGCCCAAGGAACGGAAAACATGCACCTCCCCCGAAATCACACAGAAATTAAATGAAAAAACCCACGAACTACTTTTTATCCTTTAATTTATACATGAGTTAGGCTTCAGGTGGGGTTAGGCATATGGATAGAAAAACAATTGTCTCACAAGCCCCATCGGCAGCAAGTAAACTTAAAAATAGATCAGATAACAAGGAATCCTGGCGAGCAGAGCCCTGACATGATTGAAAATGCACCTCTGTTGGTCTTGATAGGGCTACTGGGGGCCGAATTTATCTTCCTCCGGTCATTCTCGATGCTCTTAACTAGTTTGATAAGAGATGGGTGTCGAGTAAAGTTTGGCTTCCCGCGTGTGGAAAAGAGGTTTTTGGCACAGTTCTCCTTTGAAGGCTGCCCCCCTTCCGAGTCTGAGGGGGTGAAGGGAATAACGGGGCTGAGACCTGAAAGAGAGAAGGGCGTGGTGACTCATCTTCCTTTTGGGACGTCGAGTCAAAGCATAGCTCTAAAATGACTTTAGGGATGAAGTGGCAACAATGGCAGAGACCGGTTACGTGCCAGACACTGTTTTAAGGACTTTCATCTACACAAAACCTTGTTTATCTCATTAAATGAATTCTGAGACAAAATTTCACACTTAACATTTCTAAAACCCATTGTAACTTATAACCAGTGGTGTACTGTAGTGTAACTGTCAGTGGTTTTTTTCTTATTGATATATAAAAAGTTGTGCATCTTATAATCAGTGGAGTCTTGATAGGATGAAATATGGTGACCCTCACTGCCGTCGACTGAATATTTATGCCCTCCCCCAAATTTTTATGTGAAATCTAATAATATAATATTAGAAAGTGGGCCTTTGGGAGGTGCTACGGTCAGGAGGGCAAAGCCTTCTTGAACAGATTAGACCTCACAGAGGTCCCCCTTTCTACCACGTGAGGTTACAACAAAAAGAAGGTTGTCTAGAGCACAGGTGCTCGACAGGCACTGAATATACAGGTGCCTTGGTCTTGGACTTCCCAGCCTCCAAAACTGTGAGGAAGAAATTTCTGTTGTTTATAGGCCACTCAGTTTACAGTATTCTGTGACAGCAGCCTGAACACACTAACACACCTCAACACCTCTACCAGGGAAGTACTTCTCAAGAAATGCATCCGCATTTCAGGGATATTAACCAAGTGAATCATGGGCTCTCAGCTAGTAGACTGTTAGGCCTGGGATGTGAATTCCATCACTGTGGCCTCAGAGCCCGCACTCCAAATCCCTGTGCCAAAGGACTTCTGAGATTACATCCCAAATCACAGTAACCTCACAAAGGTGCCATGGTTCTTCCTATTTTGCAGGTGAGGAAACCCAGCCTTGGAGAAGTAAGGTGCCCAAGGCCACACAGCTAGTTAAGTGCTGGAGCTGAGTCTGGAAGCTAAGCCTCCCTCTGCCCCCATGGCCCATGTTCTTGCCACTTTCCAACACTTCTGTGTGGGAGCTTTGGTGGAATGCAAAATGTCAGAATCCCACAGCTGAGACAGAGGGGACTAGAATATTGATACTGGAAAGAACTCATTTCATATTCTCGATATGCATAAGCTCTGTTATAGTCGCTGGGAAGCATAGTAATGACAGCAGCCGTGTCTCATGTTATGTGATGCTTTCGACTTTTTCAAGTCCTTTCACATACAGATTCTATCTCCTGGGTACCGTACGGGAGGTGGTTACGGATCTTGGGTTGCTGATGGAGCCAGAAGCCAAACTTTCCCTATTGACACTCATCTTTGTCTTTTCAATCACTTGTATATGGGAGTGTGGGTAGGAAGGGGAAGGGAGAATATCTCTGAATATGCATTAATTCAAAAACAACGAGGCAAAGAATTTAAGAAAACAAATACATACCACTGGAATTAGGACTGATTTCTGGGCCTGTCCATTTAAAAGCTGGTTTTCGACCTCTTTCTTCATTCACATGAACTTTCTTGATAAGATCCAGGCTACTCAGAACATTAGCTATATCATACAACCTCCTAATTTTTGCTGGGGGAGTAAAGTTTATAGAATAAACCAGTTAATGGAATAACAAAAGATCAAAGGCTTCTGCTTCATAAGGATTTCATATATTCGAAGAGCCATCCTAAACATCAATGTCAGACAGACAAAATGTGAATCTTTTAGAGGTACACTAGTGCTACTGCTGTGACTAAAACAAGCAGTTTTAAATACTGAAAAGGATCAGTTACTGCTGGTACTAACTGGTGAAATGACAAAAGCACACGTCAGAAAAGGGAAAATGATGTAATGAGGTCACCTTATCAGGAACTAAGTTACAGACTTTTTTGACAGAAAGTCTCTATTGCTAGGCACCTTCTAGTGAGGATTCAGAAGAATTTTAAAAGAAATAAAGCACCAATGATAAATGCATTGCTTTCCTGCTTGTGATACTTTATAAATGGAGATCGATTTACTATCACAAGCATGGAAAGTTCCAGAGACCATCAAAACTTGTAAACTGTTACACTGTCCTCATGTACTACGCAAAGCATAGATTTATTAATTCTACAGAACTGAGATATCTTAAAGTTTTGTTAGAAAGTCTGCTTTTACTTCCAGCTTGATCGTACCAAATTATAAACTGAGCCCCTTCTCCATAGCCATGCCAGAGGGTTCCGAGTTCCCCGGGGGTTTAGCAAATTACACAGCTCCAGTTCCAGGGATGGTTTCCAAGGCTGTGACTAACCAGGGACACGGAGAGCAGAAAGCTGGCTGGTGACTCAGAAAAGCAGGCAGCCCATCAGTAGCAGTGGGGAGTGTTTTCTGAAATCGCAGATCTCCCAAGGCAATCGCCGGCATTACTGTGTTTCTCTCCACTTATTTTTATCTTGATAGAGACACTACCAACCTGGGGATGTCTGAATGTATTTTCATAGGACTGGTATGGCTTTTCAGGGACAGGAAGGGTGTGTGACAGCCCCCAGGCACTCCCACAGCCTCTGCTGTTGCTGGAGGTGGCTTTTCCCCACCACACAGCAGGCTCCTCCAAGTGTTCCATGCTCAGGCTAGCCTCATTCCCTACTTGGACGTTCGCTGATGCCTCCAGGAGAGAGAGGGTCTGCAGCAGACCCCTCCCCATCTGCTGAGCTCATCTTTCCACACCCTTTCTCTACCTCCGTCTCTTTGTGGAGGTTCCTACAAAGTCTGTTGGAGAGGTGGGGACACGAGTCTGCAGCAGGGACCCAACCTATAATCCCATTCCAACTCTGAGCAAATATTCTGGCTATAGCCATTCTTTCAAACTGGCAAACCAACTGTGCTGCAGGTGACTTCTGGTGACAATATTAGAAGTTATTTGTATTTGCACATATGAGAGAGTATAAAGAGCAGAAGCCAGGGTTCCAGTCCTACAATTTACTCCTTATTTAGACTGCAGGCAACTACAGACTGTATATTAGTAAAACAAGGACAGTGCTACAGTATCAAATGAGGTAACCTTTAAGGAACTGTTTATAGGTCAAAGTGTCAGACAAACAAGAGTAGTTACATACATCTGTTTGAATCCGGCCCACTAATTAAAGCCATGATTATGGCTTCTGGGGAGAAAATCCAAAAGCACAATTAGAGAAGACTTGTTTATATAGCAACTGTATTTGGAAATCCGTTTGTAACTGAGATTTTATTGTTTAAATAAGAGTAGGTCCCAAAGCCCAGGGAGTCATGACACTTACTTTTAAACTTGCTTTTATCCAAATCTTCCACATGGTCCTCCCCAATTAAAATCTTGGCAGCAATTTCTAAGCTCACTATCTGAGGCGTCGACACCAAAAACAGCATCACGAATTTCTGGCTCATCACTCTTAAAGACTTGTCTTTGCGGCTGTTTACAGAAGCTTTGAAGAAGGATGAGGATTAATGAATTAAAATTCATCAAGGGACAAGTGACGTCTAAAGTAACAAGGCTAAAAATACTACCAACTGATCAGAGCTGACAACTGTAGCATCTGAGGCAGCAGTAGCTTCAGAGCAGTGTCTGCTGAGGAGCCTTTTCTTCAGACCCCAGAGCTCACGAGCATCTCTCACCTGCCCGAAATTCTACTCCAGGGAGTTCGACGAAACACATGTCCGGGTGTCCGTTTTGGTCAGCGTTTGTCTTGATGATATGATCCTCTATACTGTAACTCCTACTGAAGTCAAACTCCTGTTCATAGTCTCTCTTCTTGATCATCATGATCTGCTCGGCATATTTGTTTTCCTCCCCGACGCTTTTCAAAGTCCCAAGGGTTTTGTTGAGATTATGTCGCCCATGCCAAGTGTACCTGTTTTTGGCGAGGCGGCTCACCATGTGTAAACTCTCTAGGACGTTCACGATATCGTAAATGCGTCGACGCTCAACATCTGCAAAGGATGAGCAACTGTATGTTACTAGGATCAGATTTTGCAACGTGTACAGAACTGAATGACTTTTTCTCCCACGGCTTATTTGTCAGTAGGTTCTGGATGATACAACTTTACTTACACTCAACAAAGGAGAAGATGAGAAAGACATGTTCCTGCTCCCAAAGGGTACAAATTAATTAATATGAATGGAGGTACCATTTATTGAGGGTCTACTGTGTGCCACAGCTTTAAAAAATTTCCAGCCTAAGCCTGAGAGGAAGGTATTTCCTGCACTTTCATGATGAGCACACAGAGGCTCAGGCTGGCTAACCGGCTCACCCCAGGGCACAGAGCCAGTGAGAGGAGTCTTAACGACTCTAAATCCCACACTTTACAACCTGTTTACTATGTTACTCCCCAACACACACACGGCTGTCATATGATAGGTACCAGGTGCTCTGATTTCTCGCTGTTCCTGGAAACTGCCAGACATGCCTTTGCCCAAGGGCCTCTGTGCTTGGTCATGCCTCTGCTTGGAATCCTTCTCCTAGACGTCTCATGGCTCTCCACCTCAATTCTCTCATCCTTGCCCAGAGGTCGCCTTCTCAAACTGAGGTCTGACCCGACAACGTAATTTAACACCACAAAGCACGCCCCGAGTGCTCCCAATGGATCCTTCTTCACCCTGGTCTACATTTTCTTTTTCTCCATAGCATGTATTACCTTCTAACTTATGTCCTTTGAATATTATCTAATGTCCCCACTAGAATGTAGATTCCACAGGACAGGCATTTATCCCTTTTTGTTCACTGATGTGATCACAAACTGCTACAACACTGCCTGGCACATAGTAGGCAGTCAAGACACCTGCTGAATTACAAAGTACATCCTACATAGCTACAGTGGAGTGTATGTGAATAGATGAATCTCAATAGCATATTCTTAAAATTAAGTAAAGTTGACATTTATAAACATGTATTAGAAGGGAAAAACTTTATGGCATACTTGCTATATATAAAAATACCCTGCATCTCTCTTCCCAGTTTATGATATTTTCATGACTGCAAAGGCAAGCCATCTTTGCCATAGACCTTTTTATTTATAACCAGATTTGAATCCATAAATAGAGGAATAAAAGGAGGCAGGGGAACACAGTAATTTTGCTCAACACTCAGAAAACGCACTGGTCCTCGGAATCGTGCTGAGTGGCAGGGAGCGCTAAAGCCTTGCTCCCAGACAGCAGCGGATAATCATCATGACCCACACAGACACCATTCCACAGACGGGCTCTTCAACCGCAGAGCCCAGAGAGAAGGTCCAAGTCGTGGCTCTTATGAAACAAGTCGTAAAACAATGTTGCCTTCCTCTAAAGCTGCAGGCACTTTTGAAATGCCCTCAGAAGCAATCTCCACTGTGAAAACTATATGCCTGTATTCTTACATTAATAGGGCTTTAGAGATTTATAATTCCCTATGGCCTAGTTTGTGTCACTACAAACACTGGCTAGACGAGTGTGGGTAAGGAGCGAGGCCACGATGTCACTTTAACTGTTAACCATTTCAGTAAGCAGTTTGCATACTTACTAAGCTCTTCAGCTACTTCGTCAAGACAGATGTCATTATTCACGGCAGGGTTGGGATACTTAGGATATCGTGCTAAGAATTTATGACACAACAACCCTAAACTTTTCTCCTTTCGACTTGGTTGGGATTTCTCGTATTCATCTCCTGATAAGTGTTCCTACAAAGAAAGAAGCAAACAATGTCTTATTCTGAAATAAAGTTTGACAGATTTATTGGGGGCCTCTGCACTCTTTGACTAACACTGGTATGAGTGCTTCACTTCAACAGCTGCAAAATTTGGGGGAGAAAAAAGGTAGGGAGCTGGTATACACTGCTTGGCGGATCTAAAAGGAAAGTTTGAACTGAAAGTAAGTCAAAGGTTCAGAATTCCATGCTGTATTGGGTGGGGTCTAAACCTTCTGGTGCTTTGAAGGAGGCTGATAGTCTGTGGCTGGCGATGCTTTATACTGCTGCCATTCAGCTACTATTCTCCCCCCCCAGGTCCCTCTAGTCCTCTGTAAACCTACGTGCAAACAGTCCCTGGGCTCTGGTAATCCATTCCTGTTGTCAAACAGCCCCCTTTTCTGATCTCTGTTGCGGATCTCCGGGCTCACAGCACTGATGAGCATTTTCAGGTTGGCTGTTGGCGTCCAGGGTTCTCCCTGGGAGGTTTCCTGGGGCTTGGTGGGTGTGGTCAAAGGGCCAAAGTCAGACTGGGTCTCCGACAACACTGCGTTTGCTGCAGTAGATTCTTTCAGCGGTGTTTTCATCTGTCCCCTTTTATGTGGCTCAGAAAAGAGATTTTCCTGGTTTAAAACAATAATTAAATTCACTGTAAAACAAGATTTATCAGATAGTCTTTGACTCTGGGAATTATACAATAAATGAAATATTGCTAAGGAAAAGAACACCTAATGAGGTTGTAGAGTTGATTATTTTAGTCACTATATTAATACTTGTCCATTCTAAAAATTAAATTTCCCATTTTAAATTATGTAACAAAGCATGGACTTATTTTTTTCATCTTTTATTTTAAGGACTTAAAAAATCAAAACTTATATTTTTTAACTTTTTATGTTGAAATAATTTTAGCTTTAGAGAAAAGTTGCAAAGATAGCAAGGAGAGTTTCTATGTATCTTTTGTTCAGTTTCCCCTAACAGAAGCGATAATTTTAAATGATCCCAAACTTCTAGTTTACTTTCACTCATGAAACTGTACTGAGTAAAGGCCTCCATAGCAGAAGCCATGTCCCATTCATCCGTGTATCCATCTAGCACAATGGCTTGCATGCAGTAGGTGCTCAATAAAACACCATTGATATAGAAGAGTCAGAGAGCCCCGGAGGTGAGGGTGAGGGCTAGAATGGGCTCACACTTGTTGGCAAAATCTAGTAGGGAGCAAAATCCAGAGTGCCAAGGACTGGGGTTTCTGACTGGGAAAGGCTGCCCTCTGACTATCTAGTCCTTCACTTTACAGATGGAGAAGTAAAATTAGTTACTCAAAGCCCCAGAGCTACTTCTTTGCAACCAGGAAGGCAGGGCAGGGGGATGCAACTCAACACAGAATGCCACTGGGACATAAGAGGGTGAATCGACAGTAGTTCTTAAATTAGATGAATGGAGAGCATGTTTCTTCTTTTGGCCACTGGGGACTTCACGAATCCTTCTAGTCTATTTTAAAGAAAATGCTTGAATGCTTACAATTAAGTGAAAGAATACTAAGACACACACGAATTCCTCAAGGACTTTAGAAACAAAGATGGATGGGACTATTTTGTATGCCTGTGACTCCTCAAGATTTATCAAGTGCTTTTCCATTTGTATTTTCACCAAGTGCTACTGTCCTAATTCTGCAGAAGAGGACAGCCAGGCTGAGAGGCGGCACAGGACTTCCACCCTCAACCTGACTACAGTACTGTTCCATGGAAGTCAGTGTGAGTTATCCAATGGGAAAGGCTCCAGAGCACGAGCACCTGGGAGGTGCTGACCCAAGAATAGGGTTTTTCTAAAGGCTGCTGTCCCTTACCTTGGGCTATCAAGGTAACGGCAATTTTCTTATTTGACTGACATATAAAACTTGTAGGAAAGTTGCATATTTCTTTTTTGTTAACCTCGAAGTAGAGTTAGTTGAACACCAATCAATTCACCCCCTCCTGCCCTGACACTGAGAATTCTTTTGTAATTTTACAGAACTGTTTTTCTCTCAGTGTTTGCAGCCCCCATAGTTCAAGAAGCTGGGGATTTGGGAGGAAATTATCTTAAAAAAGAAATCCAATCTCAAACCATGTCAAATGCCCTCTTCTAAATTCCTTTTGTTCAAGAATTCTCAGAAAAACCATAATGAGACTAACAAATTTTATTATTCTTAAAAATAACTTTTCTTCCTGCTTATTTCTTTCAGACTTCCACCAAATCTTTTATTGAAAACTAGAAAGACAATTTTAACTCTGGGCAACTCTATCACTCTTCAAAAATTAAACTTCCCTTCCTTCTGGGTTTTTAAAGGCTAACTAGAAGGGGATGTGGCATTAATAAGAGATTGGATATTGAAAAATTATGAGTTAAATCAGGATGATATTGCATTTAAAACTGCAAGGATGAATACTGAAGTTAAAAAGGTACCTTTTCGTTCTCCATCCTGTAAATGTCTCATACATTTAGAATTTCTTAAAAAGTAAAGAATCTGAAGTTCCTCCTAATATCCTGATGGTTCAAGTAGTCCAATCAATTCTGTTAAAAAGTTTAGTATCCTTAAGGAAAAAAGGAAATAGAAAAATTAAAGAAAAATAAAAGCAGGAGATCCGCTGAAAATTCCTTCATGGACACAACAGGCTACTGAAACAAAGACTAACGAAAACTGACAAACTGCACTTACATTTTATTCCAGACTAGAGATAGCCCCACTGGGCAGGAAACTACATCAAACGCCAGTAAATTCTTTCAGCAAACCGATCCGCTGCCACGAGACTTCAAGCAACCCACAGAATTTCCAGTGACAGCCCTTTCCCACCTTTAGAGAAGTCAGGCCATTCTCGGGGCCCCACCGAACGGACTGTAATAAGCACCAGCACCGACCTAAGTCACAGATCAGGGTTTGAGACTGAGCTCGCGAGCCCAGGTTCCCGCTGAACTGACACGACCCTAAGTATTGGGATAGAAGTCTGCGTGTAGATGCCTGCATTTTCCTCCTGACACGCACGTGCATAAGGTTCAGCAGTGAAGTTTTGGGAAATAGCTTCATAGAAAACTTCCAAATTCAGTCCTTAAACTCCAAACTTAATCTGGGTATTTAAAGAACGCCTGATGGTTCAAACTTTTTAATTAAGACTTCCCTAAAGTTGCACAGCGCTATGCGCTCGCCATTCGGTTAGCCAGTTCACGCCACGATGTTGGAACCCACTCGGGAAGACTGATTGCCTTTGCTCAGTAAGGCAACCAGGTACTGTCCCGCAGGCGCCACACGCTCAGTGCTCAAAGCACTTCCCCAAAGCCTGGTCAATTGCCCCTCCCCCCACGTCCTCTCCTGTACGGAGCCCGCGCTACAGGTTTCCGGACAGCATCCCCTAGGTTTCCAGGGCAACAATCCCCGACCAATCAGAGAGCCAGCCACAGGCCTGCGATTCGTTGGCGCTGCCAGGGCGGTCCGGACCTTCCGCCTTCGATTTAAAAATTTGGCGCGGAAAGCCGGAGGTGGCCGGCACCGCCCCTTAGTTAGGCTGAGCCGGAGCGCGGGCAAACCGCGCCCCAACCACGGCATCCCAGCCCCTCCCCCTCGCTTGCCCCCTCCCCTCTGCGCGGGAGCTCAGCTCCTCCCTCCCTGGCTCCTGGTGGAGCGAGAGGCGGGAAACGGCCGGCCGCCACCGCTGCTGCTGCTGCTGCTACTGCTGCTGTATCCCTCCCGAGCTTTCTCCCAGTGCCGGTTCTGCCAGGCACAGCTTCCCTCTGAGTCCCGCTGATCTGTCAGTTCACCTCGCAGTTGGAGCGGGCGGAATCTGAGCCGGGACTTCTTGGCACCTCTTCCCCGCTCAGGCTCCGGAGCCCGCGAGTCCGGCCTTCAGTCGGTCCTTAGGGCGTGCTGAGGTGGGTGCCAGAGGGAAAGGCCGAGCCCGGCACTGGCGGGCCGGCGGGAGGGCAGAGGGAGCGTGACCGTCCAGGAGTAGTCAAGCCCCCGATTTGAAATTAACCCGCTCCCCGCGCGAGCAGATCCCGTGGCCGGGGCGGGCCGCTGCCCTCCCCCACGCCCACTCTGCCCTGCCCCGGGCGTAGCGCGCCAATCCGAGCCTCCGGACCCGAACCTGCCGCGAATCACCGTGCAGGCGCCACCCTCCAGTCCCGCCTCTGAGATGGTGTTGGGGAAAAGTTCAACTTCCCCCCACTTTTTTAGAATTTGCAAGCACCCCCTCCTCTTGCTCAAATTTGGGGAATGAAGTTTGGCCCTCCCGGGGCACGCACGTGGGAAGGGACGCGGGCCTTCTGCGACCGCTGCCCAGCCTGAAATCCACTCACCTGCTCGTCGGACTCCAGCCAGAGCCGTTCCCCCTTCTATCCCTAGCGTGCATTAATGTTCTGTCCACTATCTGCCCCATGGTTTCTAGAAGACATTGGTGTGTGGAGAGAGAGGCTTGGCTAACTAACTGGTGACCAAACTGGGTGGGCGCGGGGTCTTGTCCGAGACGGGAGAACTCAGGTGTGTGAAGAGGAGGATGAAGGTTGCACGCTCGCCGAGCTTATTCTGCGTGTCCAAGGTTCCCTCTCCCTGATCTCCCACTCGCTCCTCCCGTTTCCCTCCCTGTCGCCTTCCTTCTCTTTCCCTCTTTTTCCCGTTTCCGAGCCTAGGGCCGCTTCAGCATGAAATATTGTAGAGTTCTAGATTGCTATTCGGATTGGGAGACGCTGTAGTCCCAAACGCTTCGTTTTTCAGACGGGGAACTGAAGCCTGGCTGGCAGCGCTGCCGCGCCTGTACCTGGATCGTTTCCGCCTTCGTTGGCTTGCTCCTCTGTCATCTGCCTTAAAGTGTTTCCCCTTTGCTGGGCATCTGTGTCGGAGTTGGGGGGCCGCATATATATATTGCCTAATCGCACCTAGAACAGGGAGCCCATCTATCGACTGTTTCGTTTGAGCGTTTCCTCCTCTTTTGTAATTTCACATCTCTAAACTACAGCAAACCCAGTGCTGCGGATCCCCCCAATCCCACTTCAGACTTGCGTGTCAGTGAATCATCTCGTGCTGGCTTGCGCGCGGGACGTTTTATATTCCCGGATGCGGTATAAGGGCTGGAATGGTGTGATACCGAGGATACGGCCGCCGGCCCAGAGGTCTGGGTGAAAAGCAGTGGCTCTTCACCCCGGCGAAAGGGGACTTCAGGGCGCGCAGGGTGACCGCCCCTAATGGTGTCTCTGTCCTCCCCTCGCTGCCAGCCGGGTGCGTGCCGTGCCGACGGGCTTCAGGCAAGTGTTGCTCAAGAAAGTGCTTGGACCTGAAAGCTGGCTCTTGGTGTGATGCCTGTAACTCTCAGATTTAAAATAAAGCGAGGGTCACAGGGCAGGCCCCCACCACCCACAGCGGTTCTTATTGAGCCCCGTGTACCTTTTCTGGAGCAAGGTGTGGTTGCTCCAGCAAAAGTGGGTAGTTGGTGCTTCTGTTTTAGCCAATTTTTCACAGATTGTTGTGTCGCCCCCTCCCTACTGCACCTATAGGAGTGCTTCTGTTTAGCTCGGCCCCACCCACCTACCTTAAGTCTTTACAGCCCAGGGGTCCTCTTTAAAGGGACTCTTTTCAGAAGCAGCTGATGTTTTCAGAGGTGGTGACTAATGCACTCACATCTGTGGTCTATGGGGCCATTCATGCCCCAGGTGTCTGCGTGCCAAATACTTGCAGGCGGTAATGCAAAGAGCAGCCATCTCTGGTGACATTGCTCAGATGGCATCTCATTTAATTCTCAGCGCAGACGTTAACCAATGGGTTATGATCCAGAAGGAGAAGCAGAGCATTTTGAACAAACCCAAGGTCTTAGGGTAAGAGGCAATGCTGAGATTTGAAGTTAAGTGTTCATTCCTGTTTTTTTTTTTTTTTTAATAGAAAGCCATGTTTTTTATGGTGCTTATCCTTACTTTCTTTGCAAGATAGTTGTACCCATTTTATAGAGAGGAAAAACTGAGGCACAAAAAAGATTTCAGTTGGCCAAGTTAGCTGTAGAGTATCATAATCCAGGTCTACCTGGTCCCGGTTCATATATCCCCATTCAGTGCCTCTGAAAGTTCCTATAAAAGCAGTATTGGTTCCCTGGCTGGCGTAGCTCAGTGGACTGAGTTCCAGACTGCAAACCCAAGGGTTGTGGTTTGATTCTCAGTTGGGGCACATACCTGGGTTGTGGGCCAGGGACCCAGTATTGGGTGTATGAGAGGCAACCATACACTGATGTTTCTCTACCCCTCTTTCTCCCTACTTCCCCTTTCTAAAAAATAAATAAATATTTCTTTTAAAAAAAAGCAGTATTGGTGACATCTTAGACCAGCTCTTAACCATCTAATCCCTCTCCCAGCATAACAAAGTATAGAAAAATCATTATATGTTATTCTTATTTTAATGACAATTGTCATGTCTTATTGAAGCATGTGAAATTTTAATCTAGATCCCTAACTGTGATGAAAAGTGGCTCTATTAAGAGAGAAGTGACAGTTTTGAAATCTTAACCCTTTCAGCTAAAGGTAATGAAAACAACGTACAAGCTGCAACAGTTCCACTCAACGCTATTTAGTGTGTACATTTGAAATTCAGCATGAGTGTGAAACAAAGATATTTGAATCTATTGAAAACTTTCATGTTTACAATCCAGCCAAGATAGAAGGACCAGAGGACAGGTTGAAAGTCTTTTTCCCCCTATTTTCCCATCAAACATGTTTTTCAGTGATTAGTTATATAACCCAAGGAAATATCCGTGCATTTGTTTCTGGTCTTTTGTTCATCACATCATGTGATGTGCGTGTCACTGAAGCCAGACTGGTTCTTCAGCTCTGCGCTGCCACCCTCACGGCTTGTACACCTTACAGGGCTGGGTTGTTACGTAACACATTCGGCACTAAATAATGAAAAAGCTATCAGAGGTAAAGGGGAAGATGGGCATCGTCTGAGGTGTCTAGATTTGAAGGCAACCTTCAGGATTTCAAAATCCTGTCCATTTTCATCATCACCAGAGCCTCACACAGGGTGTGTGCAAAGATCAGGCCCTTCTCCCAGTGACTGACAGTCTGGCTGAGGGGCTAAGGAAGGGGTTACTCTAGCTGGTGGGCTCCTCGCCCTTTCCTTCTTGCTCTCTTGTCCCCTCCTCCCCAAGTGCTTCATCACCAGCTCTGTTTCCTGACCCAGTGGGGCAAGGTGGGGCTGTACTGTTTCTGCAGCATGTGTACGCACAGTCACCACAAAACAGCTGTGCAGAGCTTTAAATCGCACAAATCCCCACGTGCTTTGCTCCGTTAGATCGTGGCTGCTCACCACCGTATCTCAGCCCTCCTGGGTCCCTTTACCTCATTGGTTACTGGGTTCAAAACTGAATTGTAGTGGGTCCAATCCAGGCAGAGTTGAAAGAGGGTGGATATGACGAGGGATGCAGTAGATGGGAGCTCCTGGGAGCTGGCTCATGCTGCCTGTTGAGCTGGCTTGGCCAGAGCCTGATGATGGCTGCAGATGGGCCGAGCGTCAAGTCCCTCCAGCTCTCCTGTGACTTCCTGTGGGGCACTCCACTCAGCCGATGAGACCTGGGTGGGTATTTGCAGCCCTGGACTCAACTGCAGCAAGAGTTGCTGCTCTTTATCGAGTAATGACTTTGTCTAAATTTTGAAAGTGCTTTGGAGATAATAGAATACAAAATACTGAGGACCCTTTTATAGAATTGGAGTCTGAGCTCTGCCCTCATTATCTTACTGCATCGTCTGATCTTCAAATTGTCACAGAGCTGAGGATCACATAGGCTTAGCACTTACCAGTGTGTCGGAAGAACCCCTTTTCCCAGGTTCCAGAACATTAAAAAAGTATACATACAGGGAATGGGGGGGTGAAAAATTCCCAGCTGACGCAGGAATCCCGTAACCTCCCTGATCCGTGACCGCCACCCTTGGGTTGAAGTCTGGTACTGAGTGTAACTGTGCTGACCTCCTTCAGGTGACCCTGTGTGTGCGTCTGTTACACACACCCCTTCTATCCCACTGTGAGCTCCTAGAGGGCAGGGAGGGGAACTTTCCTATTTCTCTCCCCTTTCTGTGCCTCCTTCACCCTAGTGCCCAGCTGGGCTACTAGTAACAATGTTATTTGATTGAGTAAGCTCTGGTCTTGAGTGCCATATCACCAAGCTCAGAAGATATCTCGTCTCTTCTTTATTTTCAGGGTCAAGTTCAATGCCTGGCCTATGCTTGTAGGCCAGTGACTTCAGAGTCACTGAAGGCAGCCTGGTGCTCTATAATGCCAGAAAAAAATGATCTCATAATTACCAACCCTTTAAAAATGTTTTTACTTTAGCTAAGTACTATTTCTAACCCCCTTTACTCATGACTGTTTTATCTATTCACTTGCTGTAACATAGTATCCTGAATGCCTACTGAATTAGATGCTTTGTAGATACAGGTGAGTGAAAGAGACAAAGTCCTTGACCTTTGGAATTTACAGTCAAGCAGTAGAACAGTGTCCGGCACAAAGTGTTAACTCCTATTAATATTACTATTGACATGTTATTTTTTTCCTGTAAATGTGAGACTTCTTTATCACTCAATTTGGCAAAAGCCTTTTTTCTGTGTTCTATCTCTACATTATTTTTTATTTTTATTTTTGTGTAATTCCTTTTCCCCCCAGGAGCCCACCTTTTGTCCTGTCCTTCTTTCAGCCCGTGTGCATGGACTACTTGCTCTGAGCCTAGGGACTGTGCTGGGCACCAGCCGCAGGACATGGTGGCTGCCCTCGGATTGCAGCGACAAAGCCCAGCTTTCACTTACCTCCTTTCTTTCTCTCTGTCTTTCTTTAACAGGGACACGGACTTCCTTTGGGCAAGTTGTCTACTTTTCTGAGCCTTTCGGACAGCTGCTTCAGAGTCACTGAAGGCAGCCTGGTTTCTGCTAGAATGATCACTGGAGTCAGCTTAAGTGGGTTAGTTAAGCCTCCACCAGCTCTCAGGTGGAGCCAGGAGCCAGGAGGACAGAACAGGCTCC